TTTTTTTTTTTTTTTTTTTTTTTCTTCCTAGGATGCTTATAGAGGAGTTTATCCAAACATGCCCTTAGAGGAGTTAAATCCTAAATTTTACTTTTCTTTGAGGTCTACTATTAGTATTACGTGAAATTAAGCTCTACTGTTGGAAATGGTAGAATACTTTGGATTACCGTACGAATGCCTCTTTCTTTGGGATGAAAATTTTGAAAATAATGAATGAGCTGCGGTGTCTCTGACAATGTGGGAAAGGAACCTTCCTATTCCTAAGAATGGTGGGAGCTTTGGCCTTATTTAGATTAAATTTTTCATAAGCAGTTACAGGAGAAGAAAATAAGATGGTAAAATGCATTGAACTTCTCCATAAGCTGAAATCATTTTATGGACCTAGCTTATGCATAAGCTAATATTTTTTCTAGGAAAAGTTTATCTAAACTCTGTATTTGAGATACCCCTTTTAAGATCCCTCTGGTCTTATTAAGAAAGGTTGTCTGCATATATGCTAGGGCATGTGTGAAATGCTATTCATGTTATAGGAAAACTACTGTTTTGGAATTGCATGTAAAATCATTTCCCTTTTACCTATACAAGAAGAACTGTTAATGTATTAACTATATTTATTTTCTTGTTAAAGTACTTGTTTAGTTGATTGTTATTGGAATAATTATTTTTTGGTTAGGAATCTCAAAATTGTAATTGTTCCTTGTTAGTTCATGCCTGTTGCATTTTCTTGTTGACCTTGATGTAGCAAAGAGCCCACTCTTTTTAAGAGCCAAACTGTGAAGAAACGCTAATTTAAAAGTTGGAGCTTTGTGTCTAATTCCCTGCTAATACAATATTCTAGCTTCAATGTCAATCTCATCGAGTTTGAAATAACAATCCATACGCACAAGAAGGTAGACAAAATGGGCTTTATGTCATTTGATTAGAGGGGAGCCCACTCCTAACGGCTAGGCTGTTGAGAAGGCTGAATCTGTACTTTTTACGGACTTTTCCTTCTCTCATGCTCATGCTGGATGGGGCCTTGCTCTTGCATCATATCCTCTCTTACATTATTGAACAAAAAGTTGAAGTGCTAATAAGCATACCAATGAGACAAACCACTGTCAAAATTACTCTCTAATTAGTTTTTACACACCATTTGTTTGTAGTATTTGTATGAGTAAATTGAGCACAGTTGCTTCTTTATTGATCAAGCTTTGCTTTGTTGTTATCAGGATGCTGCAGACAGGAAATGAAGCTCAACCTGATGACGAATCATATGAATTGGTCATTGCAATGCTCTTTTCCACAGACCAGTTCGATACTGCATTCAAATATATAGATTTAGCTTTGAAATCTGGTTGTGTGTTGTCAATGAAGATATTTATGGCCTGTGTGCGGAGATGTGTCAATAAGGGAAGGCTTGATACGTTGGTGACAATAATTGAAAGGTGCAGGGTGAGTAATTAGTCTTGTTGATGCTTAATATATTTTTCTGAAGCAGATATACTAGTAACTTGATGTTTCTTGTATTAATGTTCACAAATCTCATTGGTGATCCAGACAACTGATCAAAACAAAGCTCTTTGCCCCCAGTGGGACTGGTGCAATTTTATTGTTGAAATTGCAACTCAAGAGGATAATAGCAAGTTAGCTTTTTATGGCCTGGAGTTTATGGCTAGATTGATTGTAAGGGGTGAACGTGAAAAACCCCCTATGTTTATTTCTGTAGATGAAGGTTTAGTTCTGTCTGCTATTTTGACTGCTGGTAGAACCTATAATTCCGAGCTGTTAGTGGCATCATGGGCTGTTTTGGACCGTTCCTTGCGTAAAAAGAAAACTCCTAATCCAGAGTCATATCTCGGAAAGATATATGCCCTTGCATCATTGGGGAATCTACAAAAGGCTTTTGGTACTCTGAATGAATATGAGTCAGTTTATGGAGACTCCAGTCAAGAAGCTGAAGACTTGTTCTGCCCATTTACCTCATTACATCCATTGGTTGTGGCATGCTCCAAGAAGGGTTTTGAGACTCTAGATAATGTATGTCTTTCTTTCTGTTGAATAAAATATTAATTAATTAATATTTAGGATTTGTTACTAATCCAATCCTGTCATGATGTTTATAGTTTTTATTCACTTTACAGGTTTTCTATTGGGAATTGGTTGGACATTTTTTCATTCTTTACATAATATATATGTATTATTCTAAATATGGGCCCATTTGTTTAAACTTAAAAAAATGTTTCTAAACAAGTGATTTAAAAAAATTTCTTTAAAAAACAAATAGGAGTTGCTTCTAAAAAAAAGGCAGAAAACTGCTTATTTTAAAAAAAAGTTTAGAGAAACATTCCAAAAAATAAAAAAGTGCTTATTTTATTTAAAAAAAGCGTTTTTATAAGAAAAAAATTTAAACACACAAACCCTATAACTATTTAAAAAAGATTCCATGTTGCTATGGCATATGTTGCATTTGTACTACCTATTTGCGGCTGTTGGCATGCATACAACATAAATTGCTGTCATGATCTATTTGTTTTTTAATTATGGGGTATTCATTTGCAACTTTATCTAATCATGCTATGTTCTATTTAGGTTTATTTTCAACTGGAGAATTTAAATCGTGCAGAGCGACCTTATAAATCTCTTGCTGCACTAAATTGCATCATTTTAGGATGTGCAAACATATGGGATCTTGATAGAGCTTACCAAACTTTTGAATCAATTGGATCTACTTTTGGGTTGAGCCCTGATATTCATTCATACAATGGACTGATGCATGCCTTTGGAAAGCTCAAGAAGGTGATGATTCATTCTCTAAACCTTCCTCTTTATGTATAGTTTTTCCCGTACTCTCCACTTCTTGCACTGCCCCATCCTTGGAAAGCCCTGTCCCTGTATATAGGAACCTTTCGAGAAATTTGTTTGTTAGTTTATATTGGTTGTCTCTTGTATTAATTATTTTTTTTTTCACCAAAATATCCTTAGTTGCTTTACATTTTTTAGCCAATAATTGATAAATGCTGTAAATTAATAAGACAAACTACTATCTTGAACGAGGATTGGGGAAGATGACTAGCCACGAATCAATAAAAATAAATTGCATAACTGCTATTCTCTCTCCACACATTAATCAATTAGGGAGGAAAGTAATTAGGTGGAAAGTAGAAAGAGTGAGATGGTGAGTCCTAATAATCTGAATGGTAATTTTGGGAAAATAATATAAATTATTAACAAATTTAATGTCACTAACTAAATTATCCAACTTTCTTAATTCCTTTGAATTAGTTAAAATATATGGGGACAGAAGGAGTATATAGATGCGCTCAATCTAGCTTCGTCATTTCAATTGTTTCTGTGATTGCATGGGATGCTAGGAAATGATGCACATGCCTGGTTTGAAGTTGATGTAGGGGTGGACACCTTTCCTTTTGATTGTTCTTTTGCTGTTTAATTATTATGCACTACAGCAAGGTATTACGTGTCATGTCAAACAAAGAAAAACCCTCTTATATCTTTTGTCATCTTGTGGCAGACCCATGAAGCTTCAAGGGTGTTTGAGCACTTAGTCAGTTTGGGTCTCAAGCCTAATGCCAAATCTTACTCTCTGCTTGTTGATGCCCACCTGATTAACCGTGATGTAAAATCTGCCCTGGCAGTGATTGATGATATGGTAACTGCATTGTTCTTTTTTTCTTTAAAAAAGTATATTTGGCCAGCAAAGGTCATTGATGTATATCAAATACTTTGGCAGAGAGCTGCTGGATTTGAACCATCAAAAGAGATGCTAAAAAAGGTCAGACGGCGATGCATGCGAGAAATGGACTATGAAAGTGATGACCGAGTGCAATCACTGGCCAATTCTCTGAATTATAGAATGGGTGCAGAATCCCGGCGAGACATTCTGTTTAATCTTAATTACAGTCTGGGTTATGCTTGATGGTAAGTTGTGATACTTCTAAGATAATTTTTATTTGGAAAAATTTAGGTAGAAGAAGTCTTTTTATTTATTTATTATCATTTCATTTTTAATTATAAAAATGTCACTTTTTTCACTTTGTTTCCTGTATAAAAATTACTTATTTTTTAATCTTTCGAAACTCTTGGAAATAGGAAACTAAGTGAAAATAATATGGTATGTTTGTAATTAAAAGTGAAGAAAATATAGACTTTGGGAATGTTGTAGAGACATTTTGGTTGAGTGTTGTGTCTTTCACACAAATGCATTGCGGGTATGACTTTTAAAGGGGAGTGCCTTCAATTGTTTTTGTTTGTTTTACCTCATGTTTCATTTTATTTGGAGGATTTATCTTGCCCCCTGGATATTCTTGAAGTTGAATGGTGTTTAGTACTAAAGCCACTCATCATATTGATATGTAGTTCATTTTGACAGGTGCATTGTTTTGATGTCCAAATGAATTGTTTGAATTATTAGGCATATCTTTTATTGCATCCATTTCCAAGGAAATCGCTCTGTATATTAGTGGATGCCGCTCAGGTTGCCGGGTCAGGATGATACAAGCACAGCTTCGTGCAATCTTTATTTTTGTATTTATGTGTTTATGAAGCGGGGGAGGGTGTTGAAGATGGAATTAACTTTCTTGTGAAAGTCCAAAGCAGTGAATTTTTCAGCAAAGTTATTCGAAATAATTGTAGTACTGATCCAATTTTAGTAGAGGATGGAATCAAGGTTACACTTCTCATGCTTACTTTCTTGTCCTGTTTTTTTGGCACTATCTATTTTTAACAACCTGGTGTTGGCAACGACTAGAAGGCGCAAGGATTTGGAAACTTCTTTTATGGTGCTGTGGTTGTATTAAATTCTACTGCAAATAATGGAAACATTTTCAACGAAACGCTCGTTTCGATAATTTGTCAAATAAGAGTTGTTAATGTAAATATGTTCAAAGGATGTGATGTGTTTGGAAATATTCACCTAAAAACACTGAACTTCAGTTGTTTGGATGCGATTGATTAAATATACTTTTGGTTGTAAATTCATCAAAACAAAATGATGGGCTCCTTCTACTTGAGGGATTTATAAATAAAGTCTTTGCAAAAAGTAATGACATTGAACTTAAGAGTGGGATAATTTTTTTCCCAAAACGTTTTTTTAATCATTAAAATGGAATAAACTCTCATCTATAGAATTTACATGAATAATTAAAATTGAAATGGTAATGCTGTTCTTTTTTAGTTATGTGATCTTTAAGTTTTGGAAGGTTAGAAATAAAGATACAGTAAGCTACACTTTTATGAATAATAGTATGTGTACCTGACATAATTGAATTAGGGTCGTGACAACATATGGATAATTTGCGAAAATACATAGAAGGCATGCTCGATTTAATGCTTTGGCATACACTTTTATCAGCAAAATCTGTTGTCAATTTTTACACTTTTTTTTATATATTATTTTGTAATTTGTAACTACTATTATACCACCCTTTTGATTCCTTGCTTCCCTATCTAAATGTCATCATCCCTTCAATGATTTTAAAGTTTAATACATATACAACCATGTAATCTCACTCGAGCAATTCTCTCCATCACGTTAGAGCAAATTTATCTAGCAAAATAGGCCAACTTAAAGCAATGTTGAAAATCTTATCATTGTTAAACTCAACCATTAAAGATCAAGTTTGATGTATTAAATATTCGTGTCTGATTTTAACCATTAGACTAATTTCTTGTAATATGAAGTTTTAGAACACCTGTAAAGCCAATTTTCTTTTTGTCATACCCATCAATTTAATATTTAAATTTCTAGGCCATACTTTGTTTCTAAGATACACTTGTAAAATCAACTTATGGGTTTTATTCGATGCAAAATTAATTTTTGGAAATTGCTTGACGCATATTGAAATTTTAGGGCTTTGCCATTGTTACATACAAACTTTTGTTAAACTTTACTCACGTTATATTTACTTTATGGATTGATATTCACAAACACTAGGCATAATACTTTTCACCCTTTTACTTTGAATTCAGTCCTCTCACTCCAGTCGCTTTCTTCACCATTCACTGTATGTCCTTCCCATCCCCACACTTCTCACACCTGGTACGCCACGTTGTTAGAGTATAAGTAATTTACTCTCAAATTTAATATAAAACTGACATTTTTATTTTTGATAAAGACCTCTAATAAAACTTTTAGCATCTAATAGGAGGAAATATAATGGGTAATATTAGTTATTAGACTAAAGACAACTCTCTTTAATATTTAAAATACTTAGCTTTTCAGATTTAATTAAATCAATAAGGAAAGAAATTGAAATAACAAGATGCTGCATAATTAGTGCAATATACACATGCTATTAGGAGTGTCACTAACCATACACCACAAAAATACATTTTTAGTGTATTGTATTACAATACACAATACAATTGTTCTCTTTGTATATTGCATGATAATACACAATAAATATATTTTTTTATGTATTATTTATTAGTAGGTCGAGGTATTTTGTATTTTTATATTTATTTAAAATTATTTAAAAATTATTAATGTCTATTAAATTAATTATTATTGTGTCTAGTTCTTAAATTTTAAGATCTCGAATTTGAGTCTAAGATTTGAGAGAATAATTAATTTTTAATATTATTTTTTATTATTTAATTTTTTTTAAAAGTAAAACAATTCAAAAATTATATAATTAAAAACAAAAAAAACTACTTTTATATATAAATATAGATAAACTAATGAATTATCAATTCCCAATACATAAAGAAAACTTTTTTGTGTGAACCGACACCTCAATTAGTTCACATTACAAAACAAATATATTTTCATTGTGTTATATACACGATAGAAACATGTTTCTGTCAAGGATAATTTGGTAAAAAAAATATAAACGTCAAGAAGTTGAGGAGAGGAAGATGAAATTAGGTTGTGCAAAAAGTCGAAGCTCATTTACATTTAGGGCTTATGTGTTGCATATATACCTTATATATATATATATAT